ACCCCAGAGCAATGAAGTCCTGTTTCTGCTGTCCCTAAGATCCAGCCACACCCCCCCCCCCTCCTTCAGGGCAATAGAAATCATGGAAAGGCCACCCGCTCTGGGCTCTGACAGGTCCCAGTGTGATCCGAGTGCCACTGTGCATGTCCCTTAACTTCTCTGAGTTGGCTTCCTCAACCATGAAGCAAATCAAAATACCCATCATCTAGAGTTGTGGGAAGATGCAGTAAATGATATATGGGAACCATCCTCAGGAACTGCCACTCTTCTGACCTACTCTACACAGGATCTGCAGACACATTCATTGAATTTTTCTGAAAATATTTAATTTATAAAAAGTTTCTTACCTGTGTGAACTGTGAGGACATTTTACTAAGTGAAATAAACTAGCCACAAAATGACAAATATGGTAGCCCTACCTGGTTCTGCTCAGTGGTTAGAGCGTTGGCCTGTGGACTGAAGGGTTCCAGATCTTATTCCAGTCAAGGACATATGCCTGTTGCTGGCTCCATCCCCAGTGGAGGGTGTCCAGGAGGCAGCCAATCAATGATTCTCTTTCATCATTGATGTTTCTATTTCTCTCTCCCTCTCCCTTTCTCTTTGAAATACATATATAAAAGAAAAGGAGACAAATACTGTAGATTTTATTCGTATGAGTTTTCTAAAGTAGTCAGTCATAGTGACAGAGAGTAAAATGGTGGTAGCCAGGGCTTGTTCAGGGAACAGGAAGTTGTTTAATGGGGACAGAGTGTCAGTTGTTGTTTTTTAAATTTATTGATTGATTTTAGAGGGGTAGGGAGAGAGACAGAGCCAGAGATCAATTTGTTGTTCCACTTATTTAAGCATTCATTGAATTAATTGGTTGATTCTTGTATGTGCCCAGATTGAAGATCAAATCCACAACCGTGGTATATCAGAACAGTGTTCTAACCAACCGAGGAAGCAATGTGATAGTAATTCCAGTGTTTCAATTTTACAAGATGTAAAGAGTTCTGAAGATGGATGATGGTGATGGCTGCACAACAATATAAATGTACTTAATGCTACTAAACTGTACACTTTCAAGTGGTTAAGATAATAAGTTTTATGCTATTTGTATTTAATCACAATTGAAAAAAAATTCTAGAAAAAATACCACCTCTGAACCCTGCACATTTTGCTTAGGTTTCTTCAGAGGCGGTGGGAACTTTTTTCTATATGGTTACAGTCAGGTTACCTTATAACAGGGACTCGGTTAGTATTTAAGGTGCAAAGTCCCCCTGGAAAACCCCTGTGTGGCCCACAGAGTAGGTGAAAATAGGCTAGCACTCCAAGGGACTCTCAGGGTGAGACACACACATTATGAGGGGCCCTCAGAGTCCAGGCCTGCAGATTCCCTGCTCCTCCTCGTGTTGGGACACAAACCAGCAGAATGGGCAGCCACCAGCCCTACTGGATTGCGATTTTCTTCCTCTTCTGCAGAGTTGAATGAGTTCATGAGGTGGCTCCAGCAAGGTGGCCTTTGTCCCATCAAAGGGAACTGGGCATGGGCCTTACTATCACCCCACTGACCAGCTGATTCTAATGGGCTTTAAACCCTAACTATTGCTCTGACCTTTACCAGATCTATTGGCCATAGAAAAATGGCCTGTTCCCCACACCAGGTACCCACTGCAAGCCACATCACATCCCAGGCACCTGCTCAACCTGAAGGTCTCCAATTTTAAAGGACCTTTTCAGACCAAAGATCCAATTCCTGAGGCCACAGTTCAAATCTAAATTATAGGGTTCCTAGCTTTTCACAGATTTCTCTTCAAATTATAAAATGCCTGACAAGAGAAGTGGTAGAGTAAAACTCTCAGAAGACCTTCTCAAATTAAACGGTGGCTGTGAGCCAGCCTTGTCTTTCAGACAGATTTGAACACTGTCTCCTTCGGAGGGTTTAGGCAGCACCTACCACAGTTCCAGGCATGGCTAAGGCCTCCAAACAAATAAATAACCACCTACCCTGGGGCACACCTGCCTCATTAGTTTGGTGTTCATCTAGACCAGTGTTTCCCAAACTTCTCTCATGATGAGAATCACCTGGTGGAGTTGTTAAAATACAGATTCCTGAATCCCAACTAAGAAGTGCTAAAATAGAATTTTTTGGGAACATATAGGTAAAATTGTGTACTTAACTAGTGCTCTAAACATATAAGTAAAACTGTATACTTAACTAGTGCTTTAAACACATAGGTAAAATTGTATACTTAACTAGTGCTCTAAACACATAGGTAAAATTGTATACTTAACTAGTGCTCTAAGTTTAGACCACTAGTTAAGTATACAATTTTTACCTATATGTTCCCAAAAATTCTAGTTGAGATTCAGGAACCTATAGTTTAACAACTCCACCAGGTGATTCTTATCATGAGAGAAGTTTGGGAAACACTGATCTAGAGCAATAGGTTCTGATTGGCAATAACTTTAGGTTGTTATGCCTAAGGATTGAGAAGTATGTTACTTAAGTGAAGGCTATAAACTTAAATCCTGATTCTGCTATTAAATACTTTGCTATCCCCAAGCAAGTCTTTCTACCTTGATTTCCCTCATTTATAAAAATAGAAGAGATCTGTAGAAGTACATAAAAATGAATGAAAGAAAAAAAGGAAATACTTACTAATGAAGTCGCTTATTTTTTACCCTGCAGTGCATGTGATTCCAAATCTGAACAGGCAAAAGTGAGAACATTTGGATTTATTTACATAACCAGAGGGAGGGTCCCTCTGGGATCTCACAGTTGATTTTTCTAAATCAGTTTGGCTCCAAGCACCGGGCAAACGACACAGCTGAGACACAAAACCATTAAAAAAATTCCCACTTGCAAACACAGGCAGAGTAAAGGGTGAGAAGGAAGCAGGTGCAGCTGGTGGCCTTGTGACACTGTCGTTAACGGAAAACACTCTGCGCGAGGACTCTCAGGAGTTCTCTCAAGCTTCCCATCTCTGCCACCGCACAGCTGTGAAACTGAGCAACCACTGACGCTCCCCCAGACTTGTGAAACACTCAGACTGTCCTGGGGGAACTCAGGTTAACCAACCAGGTTAACATGTAGATGAATGATGGAAACCATACATGTTAGACCAGGTGCAGAGTTACTATCACATCCCTCCCTAATAGGAAACACTGAGCCTCCTACTAGGTCCCTGAGCACAGAACTCACACCACACACCCACACTCCGACTCTACCCGAAGAGGCAGAACTTAGTTGCCAGTCTCATTGTCTGAGTTCCTAATCCCAGCTCTGCCATGTGTGTGCTTTGGGACTTGACACAGTAACCTACTTGGCTGAGCCTCTGCCTCTTCACATATAAATTGTGGAGATGATGGTGACATTACTTGATGGGATTGTAGAAGATGACTGTTGCATATTAATAAACCCTGTTATGGACTGAATGTCTGTGTCTCCTTCCCTTCCCTCCCCTGGCAAATTTACATGTTAAAGCCTCAATCCCCAATATGATGGTATTGGGGAGGGGGGGTCTTTAGAAGGTGATTAGATTTTGAAATCATGAGGGTGGGCCCTCATTATAGCATTAATGTTCTTATAAAAAGAGAAAGAGAAATCTTTCCATCACATGAAGACACAGTGAGAAAGTGTCCACCTGCAGGCTAGAAAGGGGGTCCTCACTAGGAACTGAATTGGTTTCACAACTTGATTTTGGAATTTCTGACCTCAGGAGCTGTGAGAAATTAATGTCTGTTATTTAAGCCTCCCAGTCTACGGTATTTTGTATGGCTGGCTAATACATGCCCAAAGAGCTTAGAACAATATCTGGTTTATAGGAAAACATTCAATAAATATTAGCATACATTTATGTTTGGCTCTTTTGAAACTTTATTAACCTGTTAACCGAGTGGGACCTATAAATATGTCAAATGTAAACAATATCGGGAACAGGTAGGACATATGAATACGTCCTTGAAATATATGTTGCGCCCTGAGAGGGACAGTATATATTTTTTGTAATCTTTATAATTGTTTGTAAAATTTATAATTTTTTAATTTGATGTTTCCATTTATTTGTTGGTATTCTTTTCTATTTGTTTGTAATTTTGTATTTTCCTTTGTGCTTTATATATAAATAAGCAAAAAAATATATATTTCATTTATTTTAATTAAGTATAAATAAAAAATAATAATAATATGAAATTACGTCCTCCGGGCGTGACGTACTGACACGTTCTAGTGAAAGAGTACGTGCCCGTTAAAAAGGGAACTCCCTGGTTAACAGATTAAGAAATATTGCAGGCATTCTCAAAAGTTTAAAGTATAATAGAGCCCTAGCCAGATGGCTGGGTTAGTTGGAGCATCTTCCCATATACATAAAAGGTTGTGGATTCGATTTCTGGTTGGGGTGAATACAGGAAGCAACCAATTGTTGTTTCTCTCTCACATCCATGTTTTGTCTCCCCCTTTCTGTCTAAAAAAATAAAATTAATAAACTTATCCTCAGGTAAGGATAGAAAAATTTTTTTGAAGAAGAATATACCCACCACCCGACATAAGATATAAAACATTACCAAAATAAGTGGAAGCCCCTGTATACCTTCTCTAATCACATTCCCTCTTTCCTGCCCAGAGCAGACCATGATCCTGAATTTGGTATTTATCATTCCCATTAATTTCTTTATACGCTTACTCCATCTATACGTATCTGGAAATACACCAGAACTGACATGTACTTCTTCCAAAAGGATTTAGACACAGGGTCTAGCTTAGCACAAAATGTTGTTTGGCAAGCACATTCTCATTTGTCACGTCCCTGTTTGCCTTGTCACTTCCCTGAGCTGGGAATGCATTAATATCTCCAAGTGAGCCAATTGCTGAAGCAAACCATTAATTAAGTCTCCTATTAGCAGGTCTGTGCTTGTCAGAGACTGTGGAGCTGCAGCCTTCCGCCTTTCCCACCTCCCCCTGCCACACGACAATCCCTGCCCTTCCCAGCTCAGCTCTGACACCCCCTCCTCCCTTCCAGATGGAGATGCGGCTGCAAGACCAGCAGCTGGCCAGACAGCTCATGCGCCTGCGCAGTGACATCAACAAGCTGAAGATCGAGCAGACCTGCGACCTCCACAGGCGGATGCTCAACGACGCCACCTATGAGCTGGAGGAGCGCGATGAGCTGTCAGACCTTTTCTGCGACTCCCCACTGGCCTCCTCCTTCAGTCTCTCCACGCCACTCAAGCTCATTGGAGTCACCAAGATGAACATCAATTCCCGGAGGTTCTCCCTCTGCTGAGCAGCCCTACAACAGGGCAGAGGAGCCAGAACAGAGGGTTTGGGAAGCGGAGGGGGGATTGGGGAGAAGGGAAGCGAGGCTGAGACACCTCAAGTAGGTTTCCCCAGAGGCACAGCTTCCCTGAGACTGGTGAACTGTGGACCCCAGGGCCTGTCCGCAAGGGATCTCCTTGGGGCTGCAGCTTTGGAATCCAACATTCCCATGACTGGCTCTCACATAATACAAAGTCCTGCAGAAGGGCCACTCCATCCCTATGTGCAATGAGACTTGGGTTTCCAGCATGACACCTCTCAGTCCTCCCCTCAGTGATCCATGTTCCTGTTTCCTAGAATCACTGGTGCTATGAGAACTGGGATCCCAAAGGCGGGGGTGGGTGGGTGGAGGAGGTGGGCAAAACCTGTGATTATTGCAGAAGGCTTCCCCACGGGCATGGAGCCCCCAGGCAGAGGTGATTTGATATATTAGATGTGCCCATCTTGCTGTGGCTGTCCTCTAAGTACTGGCTCGAATTCACCCTAAGTAGATGACTCAGCAACCCTGACAGGGACTCACCAGAAAAGGAAAACCAAAAGGATATAATGTAAATTGTACACGTCGTGTACTGGGACACAGCAGTGCAGCGTGGCTGGAGCAAGCACAGATGCCCTCTGTTGTCTGCCTGGCCACATGTACCAGTGCCTACTTCCAAAGAGTCCCTTTGCCACCACGCCATACCCTGGGGGAGGGCCTAGGAGACCACAGGTGACAGAACCAGGCAGGTATGCCCATGGATTTCCCCTAACTGCATTTTCCCTGGGGCCAGCAATGGCCTCCTGGTGGGATCTGCCAGTGTCACCTACGTCACCTTCTTGTCCACCCGGAAAAAGTGGAGGGAGCCCAGACGCTCACCCTGAGCTCCCCTGAGATTCTGTGCCTGACTTAAATGACGAATTTTAACGGAATCAGACTGTTACTAATCTGCCGCTAATCTGTTAATAACGGTTTGATTTTTATCCAAAGCCAGTTAGGTAGGTCAAATACAGACGTTCGGGTTTTATTTTAAAAGGTTCTCTCTAATGACAAGCCTGAGGATCACGAAGGTGAGGACTGAGACCTGAGCAGATTAGGAAAGTTAGCCCGGTAGAGTGCCCTGTGTCAGGTGTTTCCCGGCAGCTGGGAACCTTTAACCTTGAATTCCACCTCGTTGAGCCCTTTCATTCACAAAGTTGTAAAGTGAAGCCAGGGAAGGAGAAAATGATTTCCCTTGGGTGATACAGCTCATGAATGGCTATACCATATTGATGTGTTAAATCATTATCAATAATGCCTAGACAGCTAATGAACTCCAAAGATGGTCCTAAATGCTATGCCAAACCTACAAACTGCCAACCTCTCTACTCTCCACCTCACTCAGCCCTCACGTGCACCTCCCACTGTGCAGTTCAGAATCTTTGGGTCAAACTCAGAGCAATGTCTGGACAGCGGACCCACAGAACACATATTACCAATCGAGCTTCCATACTTGAAGTAAGATGTCCTGTTTCTCTGAAGTTCATGTTTTGTCTTCCTATGTAATCTCATTGGGGCCCATACACGCATGTGCACGTGTATACACACACACACACACACACACACACACACACACACACACACACCAGGATCCATATTAGGAAAAGGTTGCTTTTCCTTTGTGGCCAGGAGTGGGAAGATGCCAATGAATGGTCCCTCATTAGACAGAAAAGAAAGTTGGTCCTGAGATTTCAAAGAGCCAGAGGGTTTATGCTTCCTTCAGAGAAGTTGTAACCACATAGCTGGATTTGTTTTGGCCCAACTCTGAGCAGTAACAGAAGTCTGAAGCCCAGAGGACTGGTTTATGGCGACCAGGGAAGAAGGACAACCCCTCTTCCCCCCAGGCAGGAAAGGAGGGTGAAACCTCTCCCCAGGAATATGCCCAAGCACTGCCAAGTCCTGCAGAGGCCTTCCTGCCAGGCTTCTCCCAGACAAGTCCTGAGGTCATGGGTGTTAGGAGGGCCTGCGCACACCCTAGAGAGACACACACATATTCCTGCTCACACTGGAGCGCTCACTCCATATTAAAAAAAAAAAAAAAAAAAAAAAAAAAAAAAAAAAAAAAGCCAAACTGATTTTTTCCCCTAGAAATCAGTCATCACAGTAAGTGAAAAAGCTAGAATCAACTGAAATTGAATGATGTAGTTGAATTTCATCAACCCAATTGAGTTGGAATCAACCGGGCAATTTAGTTGCCCAGCCTACTTTTTTGTTTTTGTTTCATGAGAGAAAACTGAGCTCAAGACACACTTTTTTGGATAGGTTAAGTATTTTTGGCTATTTTGTTTAGTTCATCCCAAGAGATAAGGAAGGAGAAAGAATAGAGGATGAGAGGTGGAGGGGAAAGTACAGGTATGTTTTCTTGTACAGCGTCTGTGACTTCCCTTACTCCCACAGTGAACACAAATGACTAACCAAGTCCATTCGGCTTTGTGAAGTCCCTGCCTTGCGTGGGTCTTTAGATGCCAGCTCCCCAGAGCAACCTTCTCGCTTACTATGTGTATACAATACTGTTTGCAATTTTACTCATTATCTACCCATTTACTCGCAGTCCCCAAGGACCCCTGGGTATAAGCTCAGAGTCTCCATTGACACTTCGTGTGCGGTAACATCTGATGCCTTCATGGGCTCAGCAGTGATCACAGAGGCCTGGAGAGCCTGGGAGGGCTTGAGACAGCCTGACCCAGCCCAGACCTCCTCCTTGTAGCAATACCAAGTGCTATTACATAATTGATGGACAATTTATAATTTTATTTTTTACAATCATTTGTTTCTATATTGCTGTTAGAAAAAGTGAAATAAAAATATTTCAAAAGAAGATATATATTGTTTCTGTTAAAGCACAGGGTCAAATACTTAATTGAGAGGAGAGAGAAAGAAAGAGAAAGAGGAAGAAAATGAGAAATATTTGAGCAATCAACCATTGAATGGAGTAAGAGATTCAGCCTAATCCCTCTTTTCCTCTATGGTGCCTTCCCCCAAGGGGCTGCTTCTTGGTGATTGCAGTCAGGAGCTTCCCAGGGTGGGCTAAGTGAACTCAAGGGGTGGAATTAGGAGATGCAGGCATTATCCTAATTTCACCAAGGCCAGCATCATGCTCTCACACAGTGGTCCCTTCCAGAGGTGACTCTGATTGAATTCAGAGTAACTGGGTCAGATTATAGCAATGACTGAACATGCGTTGCAAATCCCAGGTCCATCTCTGAAGTGTGGAGGTTAACTTTACCATGCTTTGAGAACTGTGCCTTAAACTTTTGCAACCTCTTAAAGTAGCAGTCCTCAAAATTAAGCATGCATGAGGATCACCCGGAGGACCCCTTGCATATGCATATTCCCAGGGAAATTCGTGGGCTCTTCAGCAGGGATGCAGCTATGCAGCTCTGATATGGGTCCTAGGGACCTGTTCCCAACAAATGCCCCAGGAGCCTTGCACAGTTGGTCCACAGGCCGTGGAGAACCTTCCAAAGGATGGAGTGGGCAAGGGGAGGCATTGTTTAAATCATTCCTATCTCAGGGGTCTCAGGAGAGGCCTACGTCAGAGGGTCCGAACAGGTGTTAGTAACCCCATTTTGTGGAAAAAACAGACCAAAAGAAGTTATCTGCAGTTCCCTGTGGTTAATCCCCTACCTATAACATGGGTGTCTAGATCTGCTTCCCACAGAGAGGGCACAGGATGGGTTGTGGACTGAGGGGTAGCGTGGGCGCTTGGAAACCCGGCATCGCCATTGGTTCAGAGGGCACTCAAGAAACCATAGGGCCATAGGGCCTTCCCACTCCTCCAGATGGGACCCCACGTGCACTCTTTTCACCCCAAAGGGAAATGCCTCTAATTTGGTCTCCAAGTAAATTGAGCAATTTTTAAGTGCCACAGAGAAGGTAAAATGTGATGACAGTGTGGGAGCGGCTGCTTTTTCCCACGTGGTCAGGGAAGACTTTGCTGAGAAGGTGCTGTTTCAGCTGCCAAGGCCACCATGCAGAGGAGAGAAGAGAGAGGGTTCTGGGTAGAAAACAGGGAGTCAGATTCTGGCAGGAAAGAGCATGGTCTGCAAATCAGCTGGGGTGCAGGCTGTGCTGGGAGGTGAGCAGCCACGACTGGCAGAGCACATCAGCATTGCGCTCTGAGTGAAAAGTCAGGGTTTTATTTGGGTTGTGCGAGAAGTGATTTGAGGTTTTTGAGTGGGGAGGTGCTATATAATCTAATTTAAATGTTTGCAAGATCTACCCAGAAAGAAATGGGAGTGGGGCAGAGGTGGAGTCCAGAAGAATAGTTAGGAGGTGGTTACTGTGGACATGACAGTGACAGGGACTCCACTGCTATGGAGGGGTGACGGGTGGTCTCATTCGGAGTTTACTTTGGGACATGCTTTGGAGGGAAAGCCACCAGGACACACTGCTAGCTTGGTGTGGAATGTGAAGGAAACAGAGAAGTTAATGACAGCCCTCTGGCCATTCACTGAGATGGAGAAAGTTTGAGGGGACCATGACTACTAGTAGATGGGCGGCATGGATAGTTCTGTTTCAGCCGTGTTATACTGAAATGTCGATTAGACATCCAAGCAGTGAGGGAGCAGGTGGTGATATAAGGACTTGGACTTCAGGGGAAGGCCACTGTTGGAGACAAACATTTGGTTGTCCGGATTTGGATGTCTGGATTAAAAGCAATTAAAAGCACCATACTTGGATAAACTCTAAAAAGAGAATGTAGACATAAGAAAAGGGGGGTGCCAAAACTGGTTTGGCTCATTGGATAGAGTGTCGGCCTGTGGATTGAAAGGTCCTGGATTCGATTCCGGTCAAGGGCATGTACGTTGGTTGCCGGCATATCCCCAGTAGGAGGTATGCAAGAGGCAGCTGGTGGATGATTCTCTCTCATCGATGTTTCTAACTCTCTACCCCTCTCTCTTCCTCTCTGTGAAAATCAATAAAGTATATTAAAAAAATGAAAGAAAAGG